CCCCGCCGCTCCCGCGGAGCAGCCCCGCAGCCCCGGCCCTGGCGAGGACGGGGGCACCGACGAGGACCGGCTGAACCGCAACTCCCTAGCCCGCTCCATTAAGAAGATCACGCTGTCCAACCGTTACGGGGAGGCTGGTGCGGGGAACGCGGGGAGACCCGGGGACCCTGCCCGGGTCGGCAGCGAGAGGAACCACAACAACAACAACAGCAGGACAGGGAAAGCTCAGTTCAAGGTAAGCGATCCCAGTACCTGTGCCCTGCTCTCTCCCCGTCTTCCCTGCGGTTCCCTATTCCTGGCTGCCAAGGGATGGGTACGTCCTGGAGAGTCTGCGGCCATCCGTGCTTCCTTGTCCCCACGTTGTCAAGGCAGCACTCGTTGCAGGGCTCCTGGGGTAGTTGTTTTTTCCTCCCATGTGCCCCCCATGCACTTCTCTGTACCATCAGGCTGGAGGTCTTTGCGGGTGAGTGGAGATGAGCTTTCCCCAGGGCTAAGATGAGCCGGAAAAGCCTTGCCCCAGAGCCTGGCTACGGAGGGCTCAGCTCTTGGAATGCCTGTGATGATGCAGTTGTGTGTGGGGAGCTGGGAACTAGTTCTCCCGTTTACCAGAGGGGAAACGGAGGCTAGGAGAAGGGAAGTGACTCATGAAGGGCCACACAGCCAGGCAAATCTGGGACAAGGCAAGGAACAGGACCCAGGGCTCCCGGCACCCACTCCAGGTCTGAGTGCTAGCAGGCACAGAGGTACAAATCCATCAGTGCCAGAGCCCGGCAGACCCCCTGTGTGGCTGGGATGGAGCGGAAGACAGCTTGGAGACCTCAGCGTTGCTGGCAAGAGCAAGCAGGAACTCCTTGGGCTTCAACCCTGACCTGCAACAGCTGGTTTCCCGGCAGGATAGCACTAGGGAGAGCTACACAGCCCACTGCCAAAGCCCTCGTCTTCATTGCCAATAAAGGCCAGGCACAGCCTCGCAAGAGCTGCCGCTTCCTCCGGCACGCAAGCAGCTCCTCGCTGGGCGGCCGGAGTCTGCGCAGCCCAGGGGGCATCGGCATGAGGGCTCCCCTCTTTCATATAAGGTAGGGACATGTGCTGGGTGCTGTGGGACTCCCAGGAGGCTGCCAGGATCAGCGCCTCCTCCCTGTCCAGCATGGGCGTATGGAGCTGGAAGAGGGGGGCAGGCTACAAGATGGAGCTTTGGGAGGGAGAGAGGGAGCCAGAGCTCAGGGGAAAACATGTGAGATGACAGCCAGAGGAGAGAAGGATGCTGTCTCCCACACAGGGCACAGTAGTGCTTTCCCAAGTGTGCCCCCCAACCTGTGGCTCTGCCCTTCACTCCTGCCCTGTAGGAATAAGGGGCTCCTCCAGGATAAGCACAGTGCAACCCAGGAGGGTCTGGCCCCACTCTTCTCGCTTGTGGGACGTCACTGGCACCTTCTCACAGCAAGCATATGTGCTGTGTTAATTTTACTTTTAGAAAGGAAAAGAAGCATTTGCAGAGGAGGCAGCTGAGGCTGCTGCACTCGTTTCACATGTGGCTTTGCTCATATTGTGAAGCCAGGGGTCCTGCTGGGGAGCATTTAGCACAGCACCTCATGGATGCTGAGGCAGGCACAGCTCCTTCTCCCAGCCTTCAGTTGCTGAGAGAGTTTGTTGTTTTGCTGGATCGAGGACCCAGCTCCAGCCAGAGGGACCAAGGAGGGGGGGCGGTCCCGGTGGAGCAGCTCTGCAGGAAGGATGAAGTCATCCTTTTGCTGGCAGCCCTGTTTTCCTGCGGCTGAGGATCGTGAGACAGGGACTTTAAATAAAGCTCCTGTGTCACCTGCAGGGTTGTCTCCCACGGCTGAGCCATAGTGGCTGGTGTGGGACGCTACTTCCTAGAAGAGGGGCTTCCTAGGGTCTTATGCTGCACAAGCACTTCACTTTTAGCTCCCTGTCGTTCCCTAAATGTGCATCCAAACCTCTCAGCCCCGCGGTTCAAGCAGGGGTGTGCCTTCCCCTTCTGGTACCCTCCTTCTGAGTTCTCACTGTGCCTGCTGAGCCATGATTCAGCCTCATGCCCTGCCTGCTCTTCCTGCCTGGGATGGGATGATGTGGCGTGGTGCAATGGTCTGTCCTCTGCAGCCACCAGCTAGGCTTTGCAGGCCCCTGGAAAGGTCCAGTGGTGCTGTTCTCCAAGGGGTTATAGGGCTGTTGGGATGTCTGTGGGGCTCTGAGCCTTTCTGGTGGCAGCAGCTCTAATGTTGGGGGCTGCCATCCGTGTTGGGACTCTTCTGCAGTCCTGCAGAGATGGTAGGAAGCCACATTCTGTGCAAGCAGGGAGTTCTGATTTGCCTGGGTTGGTTCCCCTTCGGACAGTGTCTCCAGTTTGCAGTGGCCTGAGCAATGGTAGGCTGGCTCTGGCTCTGGCTGATGCAGCACCCCATTTGCTGCCATCTCAGAGGAGGGGGTGTTGGAGCAGCACACATTGCCCACCACCCTGTTTGTGTTGCCCTGTGCGTGCTTGGTAGGCTGTTAAGACAGCAAGATGGCCCCAGGGAGAGAGTGGAAGGAGATTCCTAAGTTGGCCTGCTATATCCAACAGCCCAAGAAAAGATCCATCTGTAGAGGATGAGACTTAATGCCCTTGGGCATGATCCAAACAATCCCACACACCTCTCCTGCTGGGGCTGGGCTCCATTAAGGATAAGGTAATGTGGAGTTCATCCTGGACCTCCTCTCTTTGTCTGGCTGCAGTTCCTGGACTTCCTTCCTCCTGCCTCTCCTGCTTCCATCCTCACTCCTGTCCTGTGGGAGCCCTTCCCTGCAAGCCAGCTGCCCCCTTAACTCTTGTCTCCCAGCTAGGCTGAGGTCAGGGATTGGCAGCTGAGAGGATTCAGGTTCATGATGATGGAGTTAATGTCCTCCTGTGCCCTTGTGCCTCTGCCCTCCTGTCCTGGAGGAGGCCAGGGGAGTCTCACTCTGACCATCCTTAGATGACCAGGCACCAGTGATGCTGACTAAATGGGTTTCTGCAGGCTTTGGAGTCAATTCAAGGGGGACAGTGGGAGCTAAAACAGAGAAGATACTGGATGAAGCAAGCTTAGGAGCCCTTGCCACTTGCTGAACCTGTAGCAGGAGGTGTGGATGCCATTCGGAGGAGCCTGGCCTAGATGCCTAAGGAGGGGTGGGCAAGAGCCCAGCCAAGTAGTGTCTGGGTACTGCCAGCAGCCTCCTCTGGCCCAGGACAGGGGGAGGTGGGTGCGTGGTCCTCTGTCCCCTGCAGCTGCTGGGATGGTTGAGCACTGCCAGGCTCACAGCTGTGCCTTCCTGCCTCTAGGTCTTTCTCAGGAAGGACGTGGATGCAGAGGATGAGCAGCAGGAGCCTGGAAATCTTCAGACCAGTGTTTTCCGCTCTCCAGTGGACAGATGTTCTCCCTATTATGCGGTATGTCCCTCTGCCCTCACTGTTTAGGGGGGCCTGATGTACAACTTGGAGCTGAGCAATGATGCTGGTTGCTGGTGGTGTGCCCAGGTGTGGATGGAGCCTCACCTCTTTGAGTGAGTGAGGGGACAACCTGGGCATTATGGGGCAAGGGGTCAGCCCCCTGGCCAGCATTCACAGGTTTTATTGCTTCCAAGGGAGCCAGATTATGGGGTCCTGGACAAGTCAAGAGACTAAAGATCCCAGAGTCGCAGGAGGGCCTGAGAATCTGTGTTGCTATTAAAAAAAAAAAAAAAGACAGAGGATTTCTGTAGTTCTTGTGGTTAGGCAGAGCAGGCTTTGAAAAGTGACTCTCATGCTGTCAGCAGGGCAGCACATGCCAGAGTGCTTAGAGAGCCTGAAACAGTTGCCTGAACCCCACTGCTCCGCAGGCTTCTGGGAAATTGCACCCTGATGGGCTTGGAGGCAGGTGGGACACTGTGGGGCAGCTCACACCCAGTCCTCTCAGGGTGGGAGAGCTGTCCTAGGCTGACCCCAGGGGCAATTTCTGCCTGGTGAGAGGAGGCAGCAAGCCCTGCACCTTTTGGTTCCTCCTGAAGATGCTCAGTTTCCTGTTTGCCACCAGTTAGTGTGCAGTTAGATCCCCATCCCTGGGCAGAAGGGTGGGAAGTGAGTGCACGGGTGATGGTGCTGCCCCCTGGGCTGTGTGCAGCTGGGGCTGAGCTTGGATGAGGGCCAGCACTTTCACTGGCTGACCTTTGATGTCACCCCTGGCAGAGCTGGAACCCTGACAGAGGGTTTCATCGGTGTCAGCTGCCCACAAGGCCAAGTCCCAAGGGAGACACTGTGCTCTCTGCCCCCTCCAACCACTCACTGGGGATGGGGATCTTGGATGCCCCCAAAGGAGTGATGAGTCTTACCAGGGACCTGCCCCATGGCCTCCCCATCCCATCCTGGGCAGCATCCCCCAGGGTGACACCAAATGGAAGCTGCAGACATGAATGCTCCTTGCAAAGATGTGCAGCCTCAGGCTGGAGAGGCAGCAAGCACTACATCCACCTCCAGTGTTGGTGTGGGGACCAGCCTAAGTGCTGGATTGACCCAGGGCTGAGGAACAGCCCAGCAACTCCTGCTTGGGTTCCAAAAGCTACCAGTGTGGCCTTGGTAGAGGGGAACAGTGCCTTGCTTTGCTGAGGGAGAACCCCAAATATGTTGTTAAAGGAGTGGGATCAAGGACAAGGCATGCTTAAGTACTTTGTTTCCAAAATGCTCCTGGGACATGATGGGGAGGGCTTCCTGGGGCATCACACTGAAACCCCCCATGCCCCACCACCTCTGCTCTCCCCAGCTGGCAGGATCCCCTGTGTCATCACCCCAGAAAGAGAGTCCTAAGGGCAAGGAATCCACTGCAGCACCAAGATGCAGTGGACGAAGCACAGTGGGAGCAGCCCTCCTCCTCGACCCAAGTCCTCTGGTAGCCCAGTTCAACCGGGAGATGCTGCAGGTGAGGCCAGCCTGGGCCCTCGCCCAAGGGGCTGCATGGGATGTGGGATGGGGGGGCCACCGGCAGCCTTTCATGTGAGCTGTGGGGTGGGGTGCTCAGCAGGGAGGGTTGAACTCCCGGCCCCGAGCGAAGCCATGGTTGTGGCATGAGATCATGTTTGGCTGCCTCTCCCTGGCTGTCAGCCCCAGGGAGAGGGGGTCAGCCCACACCAGGGCCCTGCTTCCTCTCCATGTGCACATGCTCCTCCCAACCCCCATCCTCCTCCTCCTCTCAGATCATGTCCCTCCCCAGCAGCGTGGGAACCAAGATAGTGGGGCGGGCTGCTTCCATGCCATGGTGGGAAGAGTGCATGGAGGTTTGCAGTCAGGAGCAAGGTGCAGGGAAAAGAGATGCTTTGTGCAGGGATATTCTGCACAGACTGGCCTGCTCGAAGGGGGCCCAGCTTCTCCTGCTGGGCTGATGCAGATGCTGGAAAGAAGTGAGATGCTGCTTACCTTCAGACCCCCATTGCTGTGGATGCTGTCCTGAGCACCTTTGCTGGCCTGTTGGTTCTCAGAGCAAACGGGTTGTTAGCTGAAAGGGTGCACTCCTGTCCCTGTCACAGTTAGGGAGGGTTTGGGCTTGGGTACCTAAAGCCATGTCCTTGAGGCTCTGGTGCCATGTGGCTCTTCCTACATTGCAGGCGGAGGGCTGGGTGCGAGGCAAGTTGCGGGACCTAAAGGACGGCTGCGATCTCCAGGACTGGGAGGAGGTGGCTCAGACCTTGCAGCGGGACATGAAGGATTTTGAGAACACTCTGATAAAGCTCAACCAGGTGAGGCCAGGCTGTGGCATGGCTCCCATTCCCCACAGCACCTGTGTCCCTGTTGCATCCTCTGGAGTGGAGGGTCCCTGGGAACCCCTGATGCTTGGCCCCACAGATGGGTGAGCAGCTGATGTGGCAGGCAAGCCCCAGTGCTGAGGCAGTGCGGAGGCAGCTGCTGGCCCTGCAGGGTCAGTGGCAGCTCCTGAAGCAGACAGCTGCCAGCCAGAGCAAAGCCCTGGGTGGGCTACGGAGTCTGCAGGACTTCAACAGGAAAGCTGAGCGGCTGGAGGCATGGATCAAGCACAAGGTGGGGGGGGTGGGAAGCATGGTCTGGGGAAGGGGACAGTTTGGCTGTCCCCCCACCTTCTCACACCTTCCCCTGGCCCAGGAGGAGAAGCCATCTCTGGCAGCCCTTCTACAGGAAAGCCCAGACAAGATCCAGCTCACCCGCCGCATCCTTGACTTGAAGCAGGTGAGAGGCTGCTGGGGAGCTGCCAGCATGTGAGGGACCCTGAAGCTCATAAGGCTGGGGCATAGCACAGATCCCTGAGGAGGGATGCTGATGTCTTTCTCTCTCCTTGGGCCAGGAGGAGCAGCAATTCCAGAGTCTGCACAAGGAGGTGAACAGCCTGGCCCAGAAGCTGGAGAAGCAAGGCAAAAGTGAGAGCAGGAACATCTCAGCCCGGCGCAAGCACCTCAACAAAACGTGAGCAGAGGACACATAGGCTTAGCGGGACCAAGCCAAGCACCAGGAGCTGACAGGCTGGGAAGCAGGATTTCCCAAACCTGCTGGCCCAGCTCTGCACAGCTCCCCAGATAGGCACAGACTGCCCTTCACCTTTCCTCTTCCACCTGCGCAGGTGGCTGCGGCTGCAGGGGACTCTGAAGGAGCACCACGAGACTCTGCAGCTGGCCCTGGAGGTGTCCGCCTTCTTCCAGCAAGCGGATATCCTGCTCGGGGCCATTCATGTGAAGGTACCCACACTGGAGCCAGGTGCACCCTGCTGTGCAGGGCTGTTGCGTGGCCTGAAGGAAACTTGATGGGCAGCACCTTGCCCTTGTCCCCTGAGTGGGGGCTGCTGCGGTCCCAGCACTCTCAGCCTGAGGCTTGGAAAGGGAGCTGGGGGATGGGGCCTGATATAAGAAGGAGAGCCAGAGTGGCAAGTGCTGCTTTGCACTGTTCCTTTCTGCTGGAGCTGAAAGCAGGGCCCCATCCTCCTCCCACTACTGACTGCAGCCTATTCTTACAGCAGAGCAGCATCTGCGGCACAGGGAAGTCAGTGGAGGGTGTGCCATGCCAGGATCGGGATGTCAGGGACATAGCCAGCCAGGTGATGGTAAGTGCAAGGCTCTGCTTCATTCTATGAGCCCTGGGGAGCATCCCAACGGAGGGGGGATGTGTGCCTTCCCAGGTCAGCTCTGCCACCAGCAGAGCTGGGGACACTGTGGACACCCCACAGCTGTGTGGGTGGCTGAGGTTGTGTGACAAATGGGGGAGCCTCCACAGGGACAGCAGAGGACTGGGCTTGGCACTCACTGCCTCTCCTGCATCCACAGGACCGGTGGTAGTTCATCCCTAATGAGCCCTGCCTCCATCACTTCCCAGCTGCTCTCTCTTCTCCAGATGCTGGATGTGACCGTGTCCCAGCTCCTAAACCTGCAGCCCAGCCTGGCAGCCCAGGTCACCTCAAAGCACCAAGATGTCAAGGAGAGCTGGGCACAGCTCCAGCAGGCACTGAGGTAGAGCACAGCCAGGCAGGAGCCCCGTGACTGCAACCCCAACCCCCCAGCACCGGAGCCAGAGGCTTGGGAAAGACCTGGATTAGCCCCTGGCAGGCTGTCTCTGGGGCACCAGCTCTACTTAAGGTGTCTATTCATCCTCTGCTCCACTGGTCCTCCCTTGCCTCCCTTTCCCAGGTCAGAGAAGGCTCCAGCCCTGGCAAACATTTCCCCAGGGAGCAAAGCTGTGGCTCTGAATGTTGAGCCCCGAGGAGATAATAGCAGCCATGGGACTGTGGGAAAGGAAGCAGGAGCCAAATGGACAAGAGGACTCGGGAGCATGGTAAGCATTGTCTTCCTCCAGACATCTCCTGCGCCTCCACTTCAAGAAGACAAGGAAGCCTGTGGGAAAGGGGTTCAGGTGTTGGGAAAAAGCTGAACATGCCTGGATCTGGTGCCACTGCTTATGGGAGGTGATAAGTGCTAGGCCCAGGGCAAAGCAGTGCATGCTTTGGGCTGGACAAGAAGAAATGTGAGCCTTTGTGTCACAGGTGGCAACAGATGTGCTGGGGAAGATGGCAGAGCACAAGAGAGGGGAGGAGAGCAGCCCTTGCTCCCCAGTGGGACAGCCCCCTCATGGAGGGGACAACAAAAGGTACCAGCTTGTGAAAGTGGCATGGAGTCAGAGGGAACAGGGATGGGGGTCCCCTGTGCAAGGGGGGACCTTGCAGTCCTGACTGTCCCTCTTCTCTCTCTGCAGGAGGAGGAGAGAGGCAGAGACTGAGTGGGGAATGCAGCAGCTGGAGGTCCAAGTGCAGGATGTCTGCCAGGCAGTGAACACAGTAATGTCTCCCCAAGAATTCCCTTTGCTCCCTCTGCATCCCCCTCCCCTATCAGGGGAAACAGTGTTGGGGGAGGACTCACTTCCCTGACGCCTTCCTATCCCTGGTCTGGGTACTAACCCAGCATGTCTCCCTGCTCCTCAGCAGACTCTGTCCCTGTACAATGAGAGTGTGGGTCCTGGAGTCTCCCCATGTCCTGTGGAGAGCCTGAAGGCAGCACGGATACAGCAGAAGCCCCTGGACCACAGCTCCAGTGTCAGGGCTGTGCTCCTGGTGAGCCCACCCTGGGTGTAAGGTGGGGTGGTGATACCAGGTGGGGCCCATCCTAACTGCCCTCCCTGCCTCCCAGGAGGGGCCAATGCCAGGGAGGCCCCCGGGGAGCCCAAAGGTGAAGGCCATGCTGCGAGAACTGGGGGAGTTGTGGGAGGACCTGCAGAGGAAGCACCAGGAGAACGGCGTTGTGCTGCGAGAAATCGATAAGGTACATGGAGGCAGGGCTGGAGTGGGCATGGGGTGTGCTCCAATTGCAGCAGCTTGCTTGGGATCAGCAAGTGCGGCTGGTGCCTGTGGGGACCAGAGCTGCAGCTCTGGCGGGCCTTGCAGCCTGCACGCTGCTCCAGTTGTGCTGCCCAAGCTGCCAGTGCCCCAGGTACCTGCAACAGGGTGCCAGCATGGCTCCTGCCTCCCCTGGGTGGCTCAGAGCCAGGCTGATGGGCTCCCTGCTCTCCCTGAAGGCACTGAGGCTGGTGGGGGAGCTGGACCAGGCTGAGCGGTGGCTGCAAGCTGTGTCAGGGTCGCTCTCAGAACCAGCCGCCATGAGAAGCCCGGTGGAGCTGCGCCAGGACCTGGAAGAGATGGGCCAGCTGGAGAAGCAGCTCCTGACGTGTGGCCTCAAGCTACAGGCACTGCGGGAGGAAGCAGCAGGCGAGTCGCCCACTGAGCACGAGGGGGCGAGGAAGATGCAGAGGAAAGTGGAGATGGTGGAGGAGAAGTGAGTCATGGGGGAAGGTACCACTTCCCCGGTCCCTAGGCTGGGTGGGGAGGAGGCTGCTCACCTCGAGGAGGTGCAAGGAGGCACCTGATGAGGTGTGAGGAGGAGGATGCTCTCCCTGATGAGGTGCAAAGGCCACCAGCACCTCTGATGGGCACCTCTCCCCACAGGTTGGCACATGTGCAGGCAGCCCTGCGGCGCCGGGCAGCAGATCTGCGGGACTCCCTGGTGCTGTCTGAGTTTCTGCAGGACCTACAAGAAGAGGAGGCACAGAACCAGCAGGGATCTGCAGCGGTGAGCAGCACAGCCAGGCATCCCTTGGGATCACACAGCACTTGGGACTGGACCAAGGGTTGGTCTGTGGCTGGCAAGGGGACCATATTGGGTGCTCCCCTCCGGCCCAGCTGCCTGGGGTGTCACTCCCCATCTCTCTTATGCTTGGTGTTTCTGCTGGCTTCAGCCAGGGAGCAGGTGTTGCAGCTTGCAGGGGTCTTTTCCCCTACTGTCAGCCCAGGCTGAGCAGCCTCCGAGCAGTGAGGACATGAGCAGCCCCTTGGGAGAGTTGCAGGAGGCTGTGGAGATGCTGAATGATGCAGCGAAGGAGCGGGAGCGAGTCATGGAGGTGGCAGCGGAGATGGAGAGCCTGGAGCATCTGGTAGAGAGTGGAGGAGGGGTGTCTGGGGATGCAACTGGGGGGTCCACCTGGAGCTGGACATGCCAGCTAGTTGGGACAGGGCATGCACCTCAGCTGTTCCAAGTGGGATGCATGGGAACTGCTCCGTGTGAGGCTGGTATCCCTGTCTCTCCCATGGCTGGCACCTTTTGCAGGTGCATGGCAGGGTGCCCCCAGGCTGGGGTGGACCAGGGCTGTGGGGCAACTAGTGACACAGTGGGTCCCACAGCATGGCTAATCTCCCTCTGTGTCCTCTCCTGCTCATCCAGGTGGCAGAGGTATCCCCTCAGCTGGAGGCCCTTCGATGCAGAGCCAAGGTGTTGGCTCAAGACATTGCTCGAGCAGAGAGCAGCTTCACCACGGTGAAGAGCGAGAAGGACCTCCAAGGGCTGCAGGGCTTGCTGAGCCGCCAGCAGGAGATGGAGGTGAGTCAGGGGAGCGCTGTGGCAGGGTGGTGTCCTGGCTGACTGGGGCCGTCCCAGTGAGGCACTGGCCCCTGGGGGGCCAGGTGTCGTAAGCCTTGGCACACTGTGGCAGGCCAGGCTGGAATTTTCCAGTGGAGCCAAGCCCTGCCCTGCTCCATTCCCCTCTGCTAGCGAGGGCCTGGCAAGGGGAGAGAGCTTGCATCAGCTGCCATGTACCAGCCCCCAGCTGCCAGCACCTTGCTCATCTTCCCACTGGTGGGGAAGCAATTCTTGAAAGCAGGGCAGGGAAGCCAGGCAGTTCTGTGCTCTGCCTGTTCTCCCCACTGAGGGTAGCTCTTCCCACTCTCTGCAGCCTGTGCACCAGCATCCTCCCCTCTGTCCCTACATCCTCCCCTCTGTCCCTACATCCCATAATGCAGGGGAGTCCAGCCTGGGTGCAGAGGAGTTGGGTGCATCCTGAACCTTTTCTGCCTTGTGATCCTCAGCATGCAGTGTCAGAGACCCTGCAGGGACAGTTGGAGGAGCTGGAGAGGGCAGCTGCCCGCTTGCAAGAGTTGTGCCCCACTCAGCAGTGCCCCACCACCCGGCAGGTGCAGGAGACGCTGTGGGCGTGGGCAGGGCTGCGAGAGCTGCTGTGGGAGACTCGGACCCGAGTGCAACAGGCCAGCCGGCTGTGGCACTTCTTCAAGGATTATTTAGCCATGATGTAAGTGGCAGTGAGCCATCGGGGTTGCTTCTGTGGTGGTTGAGGAGGAGCTGGTGAGAGCATGGCATTGCTGGAGCATGGGCTGCTGGCAGTGCTGGAGCTGTGGCCAGGCATGACTGTGGGGAGCACAGAATGAAGGTCTGCACTGGGCCTGCCTGCTGTGGGGCAGCCCTACAGCATCTTGCCCTGCCCCAACAGCCTTGCCACTACCCCAGCAAGCTGCTTCCACCCATTTCTGAGCATGGGAATGACTTCTCTGGGGCCTGTAGGGCTGAGGAGGGGCTGGGTTGTTCCTCAGTCTGTCTTTCATGTGCCCACAGCTCCTGGACAGAGGACACACGGGCTCAGATCTTCTCTGAAAGCCCAAGCAGCCCCAGCCTCCCAAAAACTCCATGTGAAGAACTGGAGAGGAGGATCGAAGAGAAGCTCAAGGAGTTTGAGGCACTGGCAGCATCAGGGCAGCAGCTGGTGTCTGAGGAGCACTACCTGAGTGCAACAGTAAGGACAGGGGAAATAGGGTCAGGGCAAACTCTCAGTGTACCCTCCAAATCCTCTGGAGACAGTCCCTGAAGGAAAGAACAAGTTATGGGTGCAAAGCCCCAGCAAGAGGGATAGGGCCAGCTAAGCATCCCCGGGCCTGCTCAGGGCAGGAAGGAGTTTCATCCAGCAGTGGATGCTGAAACCTGAGCTGATGTAACTGTGACTGTATCCCACTTCTCAAACCCTCTTAAACTGCTCTATAGTGAAGTGTCCTGGTAGGGCCAGTGTCCCTGCACCAGGGGTCCTTGCAGGCTGCCCAGCATCTCTTCTCCCCTCAGATAAAGGAGCGCTTGGAGGAGCTGCAGAGCATGCTGGGCTGGGTGCTGGTGCGCTGGCGAGCACAGAGGCACCAGCAGGACCTGGAGAGCAAGGAGGACAGGAGGGACCCAGAGAGCTCCTCAAGCACATCCCTTACCAGCCAAGTGAGTACCCAGACATGTCGAGACTGTCAGGGAGCATGACCAGTCTCGAGGCTGAGGGTAGCAGAGGCACGGGATGGAATGGGTGGTGCAGAAGTAGAGGATGGATGTGTGCCAATATCTCTGAGAGTCTCTGAGGTTCAGGCAGGGCAAAGGCTGTCGTGAGAAAGTGCCTTCCTTCACATTCCTTCTCTTGCCTTGCTCCCCAGGAGCAGCACATCTCATGTGCACTGTCCCATCTGGAAAGCGTCCACAGCCCAGTGGAGTTCATGCCCTGCTCCCTCCTTGAGCCTGTGCAAAGTTCAGAGCCATGGCTGGCAGGGGAAACAGCCATCTCCGCACTGGCATCACCCCTCTCAGAAGCCCCATCGGGAGCGGAGCAGAGCTGGGGGACACCCAGCAGCAAAACACCTCGTGGTGCAGGATCCCCCAAGGAGCCTGTCACCTGGGATCCTGCTGAGACCTCCACGCTGCTGCTGCCACCACGGGGCCCCAGTGGTCTCGGGGGGACGGTCAACCTCATCCTCAGCGTTGGCAAGAAGGGTGAGAAGAAGAAGGCACAGCCGCTGGCTGGCGGCGAGCGGCCAGGGGAGGAGGCACTGCAGACGGTATGTGCAGGATGGTAGGCGGCTTTGGCAGAACCATGGGTGAGCACCCAGCTCTGCCACACAGCCAGGGCAGCTCTCCAGGGCTGTGCCCCCATGCAGACTGGGAGGCTGTGAGGGCTGTGGTGTAGCCCCCATGCTTCAGGCTATTTCTAAGTGAGCTATTGGGGCTGTGTTAGTCTCAGGAGAAGGGCCTTTGACCATGCCAATGCTGAGCGATGCCTGAGGGCTGCGGACCAGCTTGTGCCACCCACTTTGCCTGTGCTCTCCTGCTGCAGCTCCTTGCCCTCACTGCCCTCAACTCTCTGTGTCTCTCTCTCTCCCCCTGCTCAGCTCCCCGCCACTAAACTCTCAGGCTGTAAAACCTTTTGGAAGCGTTGCCAGGGGCTTTTAGGAAACACTTGGGGTAGTTTAAAGCGAAAGAGAAAGCCACCTCACCAGCCAATGGAAGAGGTAATGTTCGAAGGCTGCATGCTGGAGAGAGTGGCTGCATGGCATGAACCTATCTGCTACCGACCCTCCTGGCCATGCCACTGTGCCCTGTTGGCAGTGGTCCCTCAGGAGAGGGAAAACTCTCACGGTGCTGTGGGCTCCAGAGTGTGGGTGCTGAGGCATGTGAGAATGGGGTTCAGACAGGGCTGGCTGCAGTTTGGCCCCCTGTGTAAGTGGTTTTGGTGGCTGTGGAAGGCACAGCATGCTGGTGGCCAGTGGGAGAGCCTCCCGGCTCCATTGCTATGGGGCAGCAGCAGTTCCTTGTGCAGACGACTGAAGAGGGGGCAAGGGTGGATGGGGCCGTGTGACATGCACCTTTTGCTGGGGGCGGGTTTCACTCCAGCTTGCATGGCTTGCAATGCTGGAGCTGGGAGCCTGGTGATTTGTTCAGGCTTGCATTGGTTTGTTGCTCCAGAGCCTGTGTAAAGGTCTGTGTGTGAGGAACCCCAAGGGCAGCCAGGCTGGGTAGCCTGAGAAAGAGGGCAGGAGGACAGAGGGCATTGAGGCAGGGCAATGGGCTGCCAGCCTAAGGGGTATGAGGAGACACTGCTCCAGCTCCTGCAGACTCTTGCAGCTGTAGAAACACAGGAGAGGGGCTGTGGGGAAGGGAGGAAAGAGTCTGCACTCAGCCCTTGCCCTTGCATTTGCTGCTCTGCTGCCTGTGGCATGTAAGGGTGGCAGGGATGGGCAGCAGTGACTGCTGTCTCAGTAGCCACCCAAAAGTGATGGCTTGGAGGTCAGCAGTGCCAGGGAAAAGCCGTATGGCACAGTCAGCTCCAACTGTACCATATATGAGGGACTCCATAACAGGCAGAGCTTCCCCTGCCTGCCTCTAACCTGCCGGCACCAAGGTGGGAGCAGCCCTCAGGGGGTTGAGGTGAAGCTGCTCCCAGCTCTGCATGTGCTGCTGGTGAGCATTTTCATCTGCCTGCTCCCCCAGCTCCTTGCTTTTCCAGGTGCAGCATGGAAAGGGAGCAGTTGGCACAGGGTGGTAGAGGCTCCAGCAGTGGGGATCACCTCTCCCTTCTCTGTTTCCCTAGGTGCAGGTGGAGGCCAGGAAAACCTCCACCGCAAAGCAGCCACCTGCTGTCGTCCACCGCCCTCCAGCATCCGGCAGTGGGATGCCAGCTGTCTCCCACACCATGCCTAAGGCTGGGGCTGGCTCCCTCTTCAACAGCCTGCAGCGGCGGGAGCAGGCAAGGGCAGAGCAGGCCCAGCTGCTGACGCTCCAGGGCATCATGGGCGAAAGCTCCCTGCGGCCCACACCCGAGGAGCACCATGGCCCCAGCAACACGTGGCCTCAGAAGTGTGGTCGGAGAAAGGGGGGGCTGGGGGCAGCTGCTGCCGGACCCCAGCTTGGAGAGCTGCTGCTCTATGTCAGGAACCCACTGGTGCAGGACATTGATGCCGAATGCGGGGCAGCCCCCCAGGACCCCTGCCTCTCTGACCCAAAAACCACATGTCCCCGCCTTTCCCTGGGCTCAGTTCTCAGCCTGGAGCTGCCCCGGGATGCAATGGTCCTGGGGTGCCACCGAAGGGCTACAGCATGGCAGCAGAAGGCAGAGGGGCAAGAGCACAGGCAGAGTGGGGGGATGAGGCCAAGGGAGCCCACAGGCACACATGGGGTTGGATGGCAGGAGGAGGTAGATATGGATGGGTGCAGTCCCCAGGGACCCAGCAAGAGTCTGGGGACAACCCCCAAGAGTGAGCGAGGAACGTGGTTTGAGGAGGTGAGCTTCAACCCCAGCTACAGCCAGCACAGGGCATACCGTGCTGGGGAGGAGCACCAGATCCTGCAGCACTCCAGCAGCATTGGTAAAGACCTCCCGGACTTGAGGCCAAGCCAGCCATCCCACGTCAGCATGCAGCATGAGTGGGTCAGTCGAGAAGGGGATGAGCTGGCCACCCAGCTTGGCCAGGATGGCAGCCCCAGTGCCACTGGCAGGGCCAGGCATCGCAAAGCCACTCGGCTGGAGCTTGGATCATCCCCTGTGAGAAGCCCAGGCAGGGCAGGAGCCATCCCTGGCCCTGCCTCCACACCACGGCCAGCCAGCAGCAGCCAGCCCAGAAGGTCCTCGGCTTCCCCCACTGCCCCTACCCAGCTCTCTGTCTTTGAGTGGGCGCTGGCCTCTCCACAGCCTCACAGCCCTGTGCTGGGCACTGAGGAAGTTTGCCATCCTGCCCATGGCCAGTTTGAGGAAGAGGAGGAGGAGCTGCAGGCCATCTGGGATGGGGCAGATGAGCAACGGACACAGAGCCCACCAGGAGGCAGCTGTGCCAGCCAGCGGACAGCAGGGAGCAGGACAGGCAGCTTGCCCAGCCCCAACACCACTGTTGGTGGGCCCCTCATCCTCTCATCAGCCAACAACGTGCTAGTGGCCCAGTTCACCCTTCCCACCACTGCCCGGCTGCTCCACAGCCCGTCAGGAGAGAAGAGCCCCAAAGTGGTGCACAGTGGCAGTGGCAGTCCCAGTGGGCTCAAGGTTTCCCCCCACTTGGAGGAGCTGGTGTCTGCAGTCCCCTTGGATGGCTCCAGTGCCTGGGATCGGCGGAAGCATGGGCAAGAAGAAAGAGAGAGCAGCAATGTAAGAGCCACAAGCTGGGGACTCTCCCTCAGGGTCTGGTAGGGGGTTGGGGAACACCCCAGGCAGCAGCTGGGTTACCCACGTCAGCAAATGTGACCTGTGTTTGGGGACTCCCTGACTCCAGTGGCCCCTTTGCTCCAGCTGGTGGGGAAGAGCTAGGTGCTGAATTTGAGGTCTCTGCAGCACACACCCCACTGCCAGCCCTTAGCCTTAGCAAGGCAGCACTTCACCCAAAAAGCTGACTGACAACCCAGCCTCTGCCCATGCCAGGAAATTGTTCCTGTCATCCCACTCCCACCTTGGCATTGCCCATCAGGAATGGGTCAGATAGACTCCATGTGCCTGGAGGCTGAGCTGGCACCATTGTCCTCAATGTAGCTTCGCTCACCCTCTGTCCCATTCCAGGTTCTTCCGGGTAAAATGGAGTTTCAGATGATGGAGGGGACACTGGAAAGGAAGCACGTATTGCAGACAGGAGGGAGAAAGGTACAGGCATGGCTGTGGGGCTTCTTTGGGACAGGGGTGCTGGGACATGGCAGGAAATGTCCAGGTTTTGGGGCAGGAGTGAAGCCAGGGATGCTCCTGGAACTACCACAGCAGTGCTCCTGGCCATGCTGGGAGGGCAGAGCCCCAGAGGGGCTGGGTTGCATTTTGAGTGGCAGGAGACCACCTGTCTCCTCCCAAACCTGTTGGTATCACAGCTGTCCCCTGTTTGTGTCCCACAGGCCAGCTGCCGAGCCTGGGGCCTCTTCCATGCTGTGCTGATGAGGCAGACACTGTGCTTCTACCAGGACCGCAGGGACAGCCTCAAGGTGCACTGGGGGAGATTTGGGCAACATGAGAGGGAGTTGGCAGCAGCATGCCATTGCCCCCATGGCCAGGAAAGGCAGAGCCATCCAACCCCACTGTTGCTCTTTCTTTCCTTTATGCTGCAGAGCTCCGTGGTGGCCCTTCCCCTGAACCTCTCTGGAGCAATCTGCACCCCAGATGCTGAGTACACCAAGAAGACCAACTGCTTCAGGCTTCAGTGAGTTCCTGACCCACGGCAGTGGAGTCTTATAGCCACAACCCTCCTCAGTGTGTCCCTTCTGGGGCAGACACTTACCAATATCCCCAGCCAGGGCCAGCTCAGTCTAGTGCTTAGATGAGCATCTCCTTCTTTCTTTCACACCTGCTTCTCTCCCAGTCTGGTGGGGGCTGTGGTATCTGCACCCCACATCTGTCTCATTGCTGACTTGTTGTCCCCTGTCTCTGAAGGCTGCAGGATGGCTCTGAGTACCTCCTGAGGGCCCCCTCCCAGCCCCTCATGAACGAATGGGTCTCAAAGCTGCAGCAAAACTCAGGTGAGCAACCCTTGCTGGCAGAGCAGAGGCCCAGTTCTATGTGGTTACCATGTTGGTGCAGCCCCTGCAGAGGGGGTCAGAAGAGAAGCAACGAAACGTTGTCTCTGATTTATGCATCCTCCTAACCTGCCTCAGGAACAGCAGTTCTCTGCTAGGCAGGATTTGGAGGCTTTGTTTTCATACCACATACACAGTTATAAATCAGGAATAGCTCGACTGACGTCAGTGGTGCCTCAGCAGCAAAAAATCTGTGTCAGTAAAATTATAACTGCGCCTTGGTCTTCCTCCATCTACTCTGTGGGGCCTGGAAATGCCTTGCTTGCCCTTCAGGCAAGGAGACCTGTAATACTGAAGTTTTCCTACTGCTGTACCCACACCTGAGAAGGTTCAAGCCCTGCCATGAAATCCAAGGCTCATTGGCAGGACCTACAGGAGGAGGTTGGAGAAGCCAGCCATGAAGCATGGGCACCTGGAGCAGGGACTGGCTCTATGGGACAGCCCTGTGCACTGCCAGCACCCAGCAGGATGTTTGCTGTGCCCCCAGGTTTCCCTGAAGTGGATTACTTCCAGGCGGTGGCACAGTGTGTCGAGGGCACTGGTGGTACTGGGGGGTGAGTAGCCAGGAGCTGGTTAGCCAGCTCTCACTACAACTCCCACATTTGCTGGTGTGTGCTGCTCCAGCAGGACATTGGTGAGCCAAACTGGTTTAGCTAAATCTCTGCTACTTTCAGTTTCAGCAAGGTCCCCAGCCCTGGGAGCTCCCACCTCCAGGGACATAATCAGGTCATGACCACCAGGAGCCAGGAGATCGTGATGTTACCCTGCTCAAACACCCGGCTGCAGAGGTCTCTGGGCAGCCAGGATGGCCCAGCCAAGGGGACTGTGGCAGCAGCAGGTGACTTTCCTGTCTGGCTGGGTTGCCACTGTCCCCCAACTCCTCTCCCCAGCCCAGGGGAGGAGGTAGCCAACTGGTGGAGGCTGAAGGCTGTCGGTCAGTCTTGAACTCAGTGGTATCTGGGCTAGCAGTCTCAGGGTGTAGGGCTTGGGGAAAGGATCAGTTACTTCCCTTCGCTTCCTGGGATAATGAGATAATAATACATTTCCCTGTCCTCTTTGGGGCTGACACAGTGGTGTCCTGTGGAGGCCTTGCCTTGTGACATGTCTCCATTCTGCTTCAGAGGATGCTCAGGGGGCTGGGCACAAGGAGCAGCAGTGGTCACCCAGGGGGTCACCCAGGCTGTGGGACAACATCTGCCAAGAAGATGACTATGGGCTGGTGACCAACAAGAGGAGGTCCTATTCCTTCACCTCAGGTATGGCTCTGGTTTCACTGTCACTGCCAGGAGATGGCACCACTGCCTCTGTCCTCACAGACAGCGAAGGGCAGATGCGATGCTGCTCAGCACCCACCCAGTCCTACATACCTGTGCCCTGGGCTGCAGCCCCTCACCTGGGGAGGGCTCTGAGGGGCTGACAGGGCCTGCTGGCACCCTGCCCTCCCCACTGACTGCTCCTTCTTGCAGCGACCTACCAGAAGATCACCCCAGTGGTCATGCCCAAGGAGCCAGTGGAGGCCGGGAGCAGCTACTCAGTCACCCTGTACATAGGGGAGCAAGTGCCAACCATGCCCCGGGCACGCTGTCATTCCTTTGTGGCCCAAACAGGGAGCCCCCGGGACACGCTAGGGGAGAAGACCACCAGCCCCCTTCGCCCCAAGAACAAATCTGTTTTCAAGAAGTTCTTTGGGAAGAAAGAGTGAGCCCCAGCCACAGGGAAAAAGGTCCTAGCCTGCCTTTTATCCTTCTCTGGGTACCATCCTGGCATGGTCTCTGCTCCCAGCACCAGTTCACAGCTCACTGCCTCCCCACAGGAGAGAGGCTGTGTCAAGCAGCTCCACTTCAGCCAGCCCCAGGGCTGCACTGTGCCCCAGCCACCACAACCCCTGGCCTCAGCCTGGCGCTGAGCACCTCTCCTGCCCAGTGCTCTCTCTGAGTGCCACTGGCTCCCCAGGCATCCTGACGACACACAGCACAAGTGGAGGGATGATTGTTTTTATTAAAAAATAAACAGCTGCTTAGTCTGGGAGCTCGTTCATCCAGCAGCACCCCTCTGCACAGGAGGAAAGGGGCTCTGCAAGGTGGTCCTTGCTGACGAAGGGGGGGAACTTCAGATCAGAAGGGCCCTGCAGTGGGCTTTAGTTTTGCTTGGGAAGAAGCCTGAGCTGTCTGGTGCCTCTCACAAAGATGCTTTGACCTGTGATTTCTCTGTACCTGCACCCAGCCCAGCTAATCCTACAGGGCACCTAGGCCCCTTTTCCCTGTCATGGGAGCTCGGCAGGGAAATCACTACCTACAGAGTAAATCCTGCTGCCTGCACAGCCCTGCCAGGCCTGTCCAGCCTTCCTCTCTCGCAGAATGGCTGCCAGCCCAGGTCACAGCAGGTGAATGCTCTGTGCCATGGAGGGAACCAGGGGAGTGTGGCTGGACCTTCAGGGCTTCCTTCAGCCCAGATATTTTTGAAGTAATTGCACCAGGCCATGCTGGTTTCGGCTGCCCCAGTTCCTGCCTGTACTAGGAAGGGGAAAGAGCAGCTGGTACAACCTGCCTTGAGCATGTACCAGCCCTGAGGGGAGAAGAGGAAGTTTCCAGGGATGTGGGTAGCAGGGCCTCTCCCTGGCAGGCTGCAAAGTTCGGCCATGCACACCGCTCGCCTCCTCAAACACATTGTGGGGCTTAAAATAGAAGTGCTGGCTGCAGCCCAGCTCTGCAGTAAGGGCTGGGAGAGGAGAAATGCTCCCGCCACTCCATCTCCCTCATGCAGTGTTCCTGGGCCTGGAGACAGGCAGCAAGGTGGAGGTGGGCACACCAGTATCACCAGCAGAGGGGCTGTCTCCATATTCCCAGTGAGGTGTGGGAAGAAATGCTGGTGAGAGTGCTGCTGTGTGGGCAGGAGTATGCTTTCTGTGCTTCCCCTGTGCCTTCCCACCCTCCACTTGGCTCCATCACTCTTGGCTCTGACACCTGTTTTCCTCCAACACCAAAGCTCAGCTGCCTGCACTTCCTTAATGGGAAGAGATGAGTGGGATGGGAGGTCTGGGCAGGGGCCAGGCCTGGCCAGGCCAGGGAGGAGGCCAAGACACAGCATTCCGGCTCCGGCCGCACATACCAGGAGAGCAGCTGGTGGGCTGGTGCCAGTTCATTCCTGAGCAGCTGAGGGGCCCAGCAGAGGGGGCAGTGGGTGCAGGGTGCTCTACTGAAGGCCCCCCTGCTGGCCCCAGGGGGTCGATGCTGACCAATGATGGGGTGGGAGCTCAGCAAGTGTCCTGCCATGACCCAAGTCCACACAGCAGCATGGAGTGACATGGGCCACCAGAGAGATGACCCCATCCCGGGGATGATGTTGGCATCTGCAGCACTGCTCCCAGTGCTCCCCTTGTACAGCCTGCATTGTCCCCCCAAGGTGGCTGTCTACCCACAGGCGTCCCTCTCTCCTTCCCTTTGCTGGCACTTGGCCCCACTGCAACGCTCTGACGAATCCCGCTTGAAGTTCTATGGCAGAAGCCAATTCCCCCCCTCCCACTAATCTGCCCGTGCATGCAGCCTCCACCTGCTAAGCCAGCGGAAGCCGCGCTCAGCCAGCCCCAGCCAGCACCAGGGCTCTGAAACCCACTCCAGCTGCAGAGCCTGTGGGGTGGCAAAGCCTCCGCACCCTGGTTCTGCTGCTGTTCTGGGAAACCCCAACCCCGCTTGGCACCAGGCAGCGAGGAGATTGCAGGCTGCATCATCTGGCACCAGGAGAGCTGAGCCATCGAGGTAAGGGCAGGGTGCAGGCAGGGAGGTGAGCAGAGCATGCACTGTCCCTACTGTGCCTCATTTCCCTGGGTACCAGGAAGGGGGTCTGGCTCCAGTCCCCTCCACTGAGCCAAGGTCTTGTCCTGCATTTTGGCTGCTCAGCAGTCCTGCTGCAAGGTCACCCTGCAGCTGGGGGCCTGTGCTGAGCTCTGTAGCCATCTCACACTGCCTCCAGTCTGAGATTGGTGCTTTCCAGTCCCATAGCTGCAAGGAGGGTTCGGAGCCTGGCGCCGGTGCAGGGGGTAGCGAAAGGGGAAGCAGAATTGGCAGGACTGGCTGCCAGCACTTGCCCTCCTTGCCTGGGCAAACTGGCAGCACGTCGATGCCCCCCTCCCGGGGCAGGGACCCCCGTGGCAGGAGGGCCAGCTGCCTGCTCCAGCAGGTGGGAAAGCACTGGGAAAAGCCGTAGCACGGGCCATCCCTGTGCCGGGGCTGCGGCAGCGTGGCGACCGCTGCAGCATCCCTCTCGCTGG